CCTTAACGAGTTAAGTAAGAAACAGACTTCTTTAGTCGATTCTACGACTAACATTTTAAAGAAAACGACTGATGAAGTTAACTCAAATTTTAAAGGAATGAACGAAAGAATCAAGAACATGACGGCGGTATTGCAAGAATCTTATTATGTGTACAAAGAGTCTATCAACTTTTTTATGATAACCAAACAGCTAAGTAACATTATAGATGAATGCGAGAAAATTCAATATGGTATTATAAGCCTATTAATAGACATAAATCATGGCCGACTTAATACAAACATATTAAGACCTAGTCAGTTAAAGGGTGAGATTTCAAAAATAAAAGACAGTTTGTCTGAAAATCTAGTCTTGCCAGGGAAAAGGACAGGCACAGAATTGAAGGAGGTTTACACCTTATTGACGGCTAGAGGTTTATTTGTGGATAAAAAATTAATAATTAATGCCAAAATACCTTTGTTTGGTAGACATGCTTCAGTACTTTATAAAATTATCCCAGTTCCCGTTAAATTGGACGACCGCATGATTACAGTGCATGTAGATTCTCAGTACTTAATTTATAATTTCGAGATCGATGCATTTCACCTAATGGCAGAATCTACTATTAATAAATGTCAAAGGTGGCAGTCGAATAAAAGAGTTTGTGAGGGAAGTTGGCCTTGGAGTAGTGCTAACGACAATAGTTGTGAGATTAAGCCTCTCAAACCAAATAAGGCATCGAACTGCAGGTATAAATCGATTGTAGAGAGTAAGTCATATTGGGTTGAGTTGGAAAAGAAAAGTAGTTGGCTTTTTAAGGTTCAAAACAATTCTAAGGCTAGAATTCAGTGTAGCAACTCAAAAATAGAGATAGTAGATTTACCTGAACAGGGAATAATGACTTTAAGGTCAGATTGTACTGCTCGAACTGATGATAAAATATTAGTTGCTCAACACAGTATTCAGTTAGAAGATCAGGGAACATTAGCTTTGTCTTACATTGGAGAAGTTAACGAAATACCAAAGATTATTTGGAACCCGCTCGACATGCCATTAATTAACCATACGGACGAAATCAATCGTTTATCAAAGCAAATTCAATATTTAAAAACTCATAAGCTAGAATTGAGGGAATTAGACTTTCACCATTTAACTGGACATGCATCCTTAATTTTAGCAATTGTAATAATAATTATATTAACTGTATATTTTATAAGGAAAATAAAAATACGAAGGCAGTTACAAGCCATAGCATTACCCAGCGGTATGCTTAATATTTAAATTTGTAGATACAAGAAATCAATGATATAAAAATGTTTTATGTTAAAAAATAAATAAATTCACTAAAATGTTAAAGCACAGTAATTGCAAGCCGTGGAAAGGTGTCAAAATTATAATGCAAAATAAAATATATCGAATTAATACAGTCCACTAATTTTGTATTGCAATGTTTTTGAGAATAAATAAAATAAATTGTAATTAACACATACACCTAATCTTGCCGGCCCTTGCCAGAATGTTCAGACGAACACTAATAAAAATAAAATATAATACTTTATGAGCTCTGGGCATGTCATGTGACAATTGTAAATCGACCCAGAGTCATAAACTATGATCTGTAATTTTAAACCCTACAAGGGAGCGGTGTCTGTGCAGGCCACTTGAGCCTAACCGAAAATAAGCACTTGAGATGTTTCTCGTATTGCACCACGGGTTCCTGTGCGGGGTCAAATGATAACTCTCCCGCTCAGGCAGACGCGGCCTCTGCGTAGGCCACAGATAAAACCAGAATAAGAATTTCATGTTAGTTTCCTAAGCAGGGACTTAGAAAATAAAATTCAGTTTTAATACAGAACTCAACTGAAAAGGTTGTTTTATTTAATTCATCCCTTTCACCTATAAAAAAATTTAAGTTTTTTAATTTAAATAGTTTTAATGAACACTTTTCCGCACCACCATTGAGGTGGTATTGAAGTATTCCCGAATAGGAAGTATTTGAAAGCAGTGCATTAAAAAAAAAAAAGTAAAAAAAGACTGCGCCGCAGTCAATTCTTTTCTTACATTTTTTTGGTAATACTCTAGTTTACGGTCCTCACTCCCAAAATTCGCGAAAAAATTATCCTCGACGGACCGCGAATTCCTAAGAATTTACATCTAGAAAATAAGGCGCGGACTGCTATGGTTCTCTTGTAATCGAATTTTAAAGTTACGTGCTTTGCTATAAAAATACAGTTGGCTTTTCTACGACTTGCTATAAAAAACATACAGGATTTTCATAAGTTGTCAAAATAATAGGCCTTCTGAAAAATTCGACAAAAATGTCTAATGGTTTTTATAGGGGCCAGACCCCACAGCCGTGAACTAAATATCCTCCGTGGACACCGATTCCTTGAGAATTTATTTACCAGGGGGGACCAAGACCAATCTTAAGACAGATCTGAAAAAATCGCGGTCCAACGAGGATCATTACAGTTTACCTATTTTGTGGTCTTATTAAATATTATATTTTAACCTTTTTCCCGGTCTAAAGAAAATCGTAGAAAAGGCTACACCAATATTGCACGGATTTTATAGTCCTAACCGCAATACAACTACTTAAGAAAATTGAAAGAAGAAGTGCATTGCGCTGCAAACAAAAATTTTTTAAAAAATATTTTTTGTTCGAGGCGCATTTTTTGCATTATTGGACCGCGATTTCTTAAACTTTACTTTCATAAGTTACGTATATGTTGGTCATCCATGGTCATTCGAATTCTTAAGGAATAGCGGTCCATCGAGGATATTTATTTTAGATTTTGGTCGAATTTTACTGAACGCCTATTATTTTGACAAGGGATGAAAAGCCCTTATGTTTTTTATAGCAAACCACTCAAAATCATAGAAAAGGCTACTTTATTTTTATAGCAAAACACGTAACTTTGAAATTCGATTACAAGAGAACCATGGCAGTCCGCGCCTATATTTCTTCATGTAAATTCTTAAGAATTCACGGTCCGTCAAGGATAATTTTTTCGCGAATTTTGGGGGTGAGGAGCGTAAACTAGAGTATTACCATTTTTTTTGCTTGCGGCGCAGTTTCTCTTGTTCAATATTAAACTAGTAATTTTAGCTGAATAAGGGTTGTTGTGTGGCTCAGAAAAACAAATTCAATCTTTAAGTTTGGTTTTGGGTGGAAAAGACTAAAAGAAAGGTTAAAATATATATTTCTCCTTGGACCGCGATTTCTTCTGATTATCATAATAAAAATACACATGTGGTCATCCATGGTTATGAGAGTTCTTAAGAAATCGATGTCCATCGAGGATCATTTTTATGCGGTTGTGAGGACTAGTTCCCTATAATACCAAATACTCAAATGTTTGGAATTTTAAATTAGTCGTATTTTGACAAAAAAGGAAAAGGGTACATATATAGGGGAGTGTAGGGTAAGGTGACGAACGATTCGTTTTTTGAATATAACTTTTCTAAAAATTAATATTTTTCAAAAGTGTAAACCCAGCAGTTGCTTACATCTACTGAGCATATCCCTGTAAAATTCGGATTCGAAATTCCAATGCAGCCAAATCCCACAGCGTTTGGCGTGAACCCTTCTTTTTTTGCACTTTCAAAAGTTGTAGGGTAATGTGACGAACGATTTGTTCTTTAATGTAACTTCTCCAAAAATCAATATTTTTTAAAAGTGTAAAAACAGAAAGTTACTTACATTTACTGAGCATATTTCTGAAAAATTGGTATTCGAAATTTCAACGTAGCCAAATCCCACAGCGTTTGGTGTAAATCATCCTTTTCACAAACAAAAAAATGCATTTTTTATATATAATTTACGGAAAAGTTATTTTCGATACGGAAAAGAAAGAAGTAATAAGATAATACCGAAACTTACAAAAAAAAATGGTCAAAGTGCAATTTTTAAATTTTAAAATATTTTTTTTTTTAATTAAATTAAACTGACGTCACAATTAAAAACAACAATAAAACTGAAGCAGTAACAGTTATCTGGTATTATTATATTTTTTTTACAAATAATCAACGATAACAATTAAAATCCTTGAATTAAAAAAGTTCCACAATACCCTACAAAAAGTTCGTCACGATACCCTGGTAGACTTGGAGCAAAAACGGTGTCACTCTTAAACGGCGCAAAAGAAAAAAACGCGATGTACCAAAAACTGTTGATAAAGATCTCATGTATGCGTGCATATATTTGCCTGATTTTATTTTCCACTCATCTTTGCTCTGGCACTGCTGAAACACAAGTAAATTGAATGGGTTTGCTAGTTTGCGCACCACATTTTTAGCGAAAATTACCTCACGAACAAATTACGGGACTTCTTATTAATATTACTGTAAATACATTGTCGACACGATAAGGGGAGACGACTACATTTATTTGGAATTTTTGTCGTGACGTCATATATGAGATTCGACGAGTTCGTCACATTACCCTACTCGTCAAATTACCCTACTTATATGATTTTTATAGCAAACGATAGAAAAGCATACTTGCTTTTTATAGCAAACCCGGGAACTTTGAAATTCAATTGAAGAGAACCATGGCCGACCGCCAAATTCGCGATCCACCGAGGGTAATATAAAGTATTATCATAATTATTTTCCTTCCGAAATTAATCGCGAAGTTAAAAATCACTAACGCAGAAATGCACATTATAGCACTGTGTATTATATAAAAAACCTGTATCTTATCCCTTTTCAATTGTGGCATACAGAAAAAATTTCGTTAGCTTTTAAACTATTAAAACACTTTTAATATTATAGCTTAATTATCTTGGCCTTCTGTGCAAAAAAAAATGCATTGGTTGTGTCATGCCGTCTTGAAGGACTAAAACAAAAAAATTATATATTTTTACGTCTTATGGATTCCGAGATATTGCACGTGACGAAATTGCCCCAGTGACGAAATTGCCCCACTCTCCCCTACTTCTATACTTCTATATTATGCAGAAAACAATTCTAAATTTAAATAAATTATTAACTATAAACGCATATTATTAATTTCTTTCAGGCTGATTTTTCTTGGTCTATTAAAGGCGAAAACGATACAGTTCAAGTTTTAGGCAGCGGTGAAAAGAAAACATTTTTGGAAAAGAGTTTTTACATATTGCAAACAGACTATGCCATTTCCAGGACTTATAGATGTGTTTCCAATAATACGGTTGGATCCGCACCATTTTGTGAAATTGAAGTAGCTGGTACGTATATAATATAAATGGCCTTTTTATACCCGTTACTCGTAGAGTAAAAGGGTATATTGTATTCGTGCAAAAGTATGAAACAGCTAGAAGAAAGCGTTTCCGACCCCATAAAGTATATATATTTTTGGTCAGGACCACTAGCCGAGTCGATATAGCCATGTCTGTCTGTCTGTCTTTCTGTCCGTATGAACGCTAAGATTTCGGAAACCACAAAAGCTAGAAGGTTGAGATTTCCCACACATATTTTATTTCAGCAGAGCGCCATGTCCCCTCTAACGGCCACAATCGCCCACTGACGATTTTGTGTCTGGCCCCCACACCTTTAAAGATTTCCGAAAAGTATAAATGCAATTTTGTTGGAGCATTCATTAAAAAGTTATGCGCAATCAAAAAAATGTTATATATCTATCTCCCTCGCACTCGCACTAAGATTTGAGCCCAAATTGCCATTTACGTTTTACGTGACAGGAATGAGCCATTTCTTATTGTATTAACCCTTAGAGACGTAAGAATGCCTAAGGTACGTACACTGGTCGGCATAATTATTTTGAAAAATTTTAAAGTTTAATCTTCTTTTATTTTGAACTTATTATAGAAACATTTTGGCACCTATAGAAAAAGCACTTCAATTCCGTTTAAATGACACAACAATGTTCTTAACCCATTAAGCACCCTTTAAAAAGTTAGAAAATTAAAAAATTTATTGTAAAGGTGAAATTTTTAAATAACTTTCCTTGTATTTTTTGTAATTCTTTGAAAATAGCTAAAAAAATTTTTGTTTTCAGTTATTATTAATTTTGATTGGGAAAAAACTTTGCATCAAAACATTTTTGTTTTAAGCCCTATAGGGCTTTTCCTATAGGAAAAAAGTTGAAAATTTGATCTTCACAAAAATTGCTCACTTTTAAAAGTGGTCCTAATGGGTTAAGAACATTTTTGTGTCATTTAAACGTAATTAAAGTGCTCTTTCTATAGGTGCCAAAAGTTTATATTAAAAGTTCAAAATTTGAATACAGGTAACATTCAAATCTGTCAAAATAATTATGCCGACTAGTGTATTATTTACGCGCGAAAAAAACAAAAAAGTAGATCATTCCTATAAATTTACAAATCGCAAAAATGTTAAATTTCGAATTATTTTGACAATTTTTAAACCCTTGCAGAGGGTATTATGATTTTGGTCAGAAGTTTGCAAGGCAGTGAAGGAGATGTTTCCGACCCAGTAAAGTATATATTCTTGATCAGCATCACAAGACGAGTCGATCTCGCCATTTCCGTCCGTCTGTCTGTTTCTACGCAAACTAGTCCCACAGTTTTTGAGCTATCGGGATGAAACTTTCCCAAAAGTCTTCTTTCTATTGCAGGTAGTATATATGTCGGAACCGACCGGATCGGACAACTATATCTTATAGCTCCCATAGGAAGGATCGGAAAAAAACGGTAAAACAAGAAAGAAAGCTAGCTTCGGCCAGCCGAAGCTTATATACCCTTGCAGATCGTTCCTATTAACTTACAAATCGCAAAAATGTTAAATTTCGTATTATTTTAATATTATTTTTTCTATCCTTCCCTATTGCAGCTATAGAATATAATCGTCCGATTTCTGTTAAATTTAATTCAAAACTCTGAAATATTAAAAAAAATCATATCATATCCATATATCAATACAATAAAAATCAACGGAGCTATAATTTGTTTCCAATTAATTTCCCATTAATTTTTCGATCGTTCCTATGGCAGCAATATGATATAGTCATCCTATTTTGATCAAATTAAAATTGAAATTCGGAAATATTTAAAAAGAGTCATGTCCTAAAGTAGAAGAAAATATAATAAAAGCCAAAGAGGCTAGAATTTATTTCCTATTACTTTTCCATTAATTTTCCGATCGTTCCTATGGCAGCTATATGATATAGTCGACCGATTTTTTAAATATTTAATTTCAAAATTCAGAAATATTAAAAAAAAAACATCCCCAAGAGTAGAAGGTAATATTTTAAAAATTACCAATGGTACAATTTTTTTAACGATTTTTTTTCCGATCCTTCCTATGGGACCTATAAGATATAGTTGTCCGATCCGGTCGGTTCCGACTTATATACTACCTGCAATAAAAAGAAGAGTTTTGGGAAAGTTTCAAGCCGATAACTTCAAAACTGAGAGACTGGTTTGCGTAGAAACGGACAGACAGACGGAGGGCATTCTACACACAAAAAAATTTGCTTGGTAAAATTGACCAACAAAGATAGTTACGTAACTAATAAAATAGTTACGTGTATTTTGTTTTTGCTTTGGGTTTGTGTCTTTGCTAATGGTGTGTATTTTGTTGTTGTGAAATGACTATTTACTTAGTAGAATTGACAATTTTGCTGGTTGGGGCCTGTTTGACAATTATTACAGTTGAGATTGTACCAAGTTTTTTTTTTTTGTGTTTTACTGGTTGAAGGTACTTTGACAAAAAAACCAGCTATCGATGGCCGAAATCGGTTAATCACAAGTCGAGTTAGAAATTAAAAAAGCGTCAAAAACGTTTTTTACACTTTAAAAAAAACTGTACCATACCAAAAATTAAAAGTGCCCTTTTCTTACTCAGGGAGATGTACCTTAACCGAAAATCATAGTTTCATAAAGTGCGTATTTCATCAATTTTTTTTTAGTAAACTGGTGTTACCGCCATTGCCACTACCGCCACTACCAAACGGAGAAGATAAGATAGCAAGGTCACTTTGAATATAAACGTTAAATTTAATCTTTTTAATTCAAATAGCTTTAACTGGTTGAATCAACAAGGTTCATAGCTATAAAAAGTAATAGTGTAATTTGCCATGGAATCAGACATTTTTATCATATGAGGCAGTAATTTGTAGAAAGGCAATTAAATATTCATTCATTGGCGCAGTAATATCTTTAATTAGAAATATAAGCATTAGTTATACTTCGCGATGGAGAAATTAGACCACTGAAATAGTATTTTTATACACACAAAAAAAAAACTTCGTAAAATCAACTGTAATAATTGTCAAACAGGCCCCAACCAGCAAAATTGTCAATTCTACTAAGTATATAGTCATTTCACAACAACAAAATACACACAATTAGCAAAGACACAAACCCAAATCAAAGACAAAATACACGTAACTATTTTAATAGTTACGTAACTATCTTTGTTGGTCAATTTTACCAAGCAAATTTTTTTGTGTGTAGTTCCTATTTTTTTACAGCACATAATTATCACGCAAAAAGTTTGAAAATTCAGTCAAAAAGCATCAAATTATTTTTTCCCCCATTTCACAGTAGCTCTATTGAATGAGCAAAATTTTACTTTTTAGATTCAATTTTGTTAATTGACCTATCGACACAGGTATTACCGTATGGACTGACTTTTAAATACCAAAAAAATAGCATAAATGCCTATCGGTTGTTACAATTTTGCTTATTAATTGTTCATTTGAGCTGATCATATATATACCTATAGGTATGAATAAACGCATTTATACTTCCCCGAATCCTTTAAAAAAGTGGTCGCTTAACATATTTTAAAATCGTTTCTGGGCGTTCGAGGGAGCGTGGCGCTCGGCTGAAATAAACTTGCGCTGCGTAGGAAGCCCAAGAATATGTGCGGGTAATCCCAACTTTCTAGCTTTTGTAGTTTCCGAGATCTCAGCGTTTATACGGACGGATAGACAGACAAACAGATGGGCATGGCTATATCGACTCGGCTAGTGACCCTGATTAAGAATATATATACTTTATAGGGTCGGAAACGCTTCCTTCTCCCTGTTACGCACAAATATTCTGATTTTGCGTTGAATGTTCTCTCAATATGCTTTGACTCCGTTCCATTTTTAAGTTTAATTAAAAAACATTTTCATATAAAAATTCCAAAAAATATTGTTTAATTTTAAAATTTTATTTTTCAATTTGATGTCGACTCTACACACAAAAAAATTGCTTGGTAAAATTGACCAAGAAAGATAGTTACGTAACTATTAAAATAGTGACGAGTGTCTTTGCTAATTGTGTGTATTTTGTTGTTGTGAAATTACTATTTACTTAGTAGAATTGACAATTTTGCTGGTTGGGGCCTGTTTGACAATTATTATTTGATTTTACCAAGTTTTTTTTTGTGTGTAAAGCAACAACTTTTGATGAGTATTAATGAGTGGACTTATTAAGTTGTTAAGATAGATAGTGCAAATACCGTCTTTTCCTGTGGACCTAAGGATCAAACACATTATAAAAGAAATTTATATTAGTATGATTTGGGAATTAAATATTTAAAAGTTTCGAAGTGGACTGTAAAAAATCCGAAGAAAGGCTGTAGCTGCTTCTTTTATCCTTTTATCGACTTAATTTAAGAACGAATTAAACTATTTTGTCTGATTTGTGTAGTACATTTAGTGTTTACTTTAAAAACATCCTAACTTTGAGTTCAAAACCAACTCTAAGTGGATTTGGTTTTTATATTGACAACATTTTTGAAAAAAAACATAAAGCAACATTTGTCCCAACATTAACGGATGGTTACAAAAAACAAGATATGCTAACAAAATCACTATGGACGGCAGTCCATGTAGTGACGAAGCGCACCAGGAGAGTGTGCGAAGGCGACTACTATTATTTAGCCGAAAAATTGAAAATCTGCTGTGATAGTCCGATCGTAATGAGTAATACACCAATCGAAAGGTATTGCAAAAACTTAAAGGATTGCATACCAAGACTTCAAGAAAATCAATTGGCTTGGGAGAGAGAGCGGTGAAAGTGAAAAAGTGCAAGTTTCGAAATTTGGAGCTGTTGGGGCCGGTGGGGATAAATGCCCCCTCGCAATGCTTTAGTTGTATTCCTATTGAAATACCCGTCGAATGAGCCAAAAAAGATTTTCTACATCTTCCCAAAATGAAAATTTAATTCTGTTTGTCAGTTTGTCCAAAACATGTTTTTTAAGTTTTGAAAACTTGATATTAGAGCCCTGCATGAATCATTCAATTTTTGTTTTA